CCTAACTGTGTTTTTCAAATTTCTGTTAACCATGAGTAGAAGTTCTCGGTTGTTCTCTTCTAAAAGAATTGAAACCGTAAAGTGGTATGCTATTTATTGGAATGCAGCTGAAGATGCTCGCCAATTTCAACACCATTAGGACCGAGCTCCTCCAAGACGACAGAACATTTTGAATATTGTACGAAAGTTTGACAAAAGTGAAAGTGTTCAAGATGAACCGAGACCTGGCCAACCCAGATCTGTCAGTACCGACGAAAACAAAGAACGTGTTCGTGCTGCTTTTGAAGAAAGTCCTGGAAGATCAACAAGAAGAGCTTCTTTGAAGCTAAATCTATCTCGAATCAGTCTTCGACAGATGGTGAAGAAATTCGGATTGAAGTCATATCGTTCGTGATTATTGCATGCCTTGAGCAAGGATGATCACGACAGACGCTGCGAATTTGTCGATATCTCCCTGGAATTGTTCGCTGGCGACTCTTCATTCCCTGATCGAATAGTTTGGACTGATGAAGCTGCTTTCAAGTTGAATGGGTACGTCAATCGACATAATTGCATTTATTACGCTCTAAAAAATCCTCACATCATCATTACCGAAGAAATGAATGCGCCGGGTATCACTGTATGGGCTAGGATTTGGTCTGGAGGTCTTATTGGACCATTCTTCTTCAGTGACACCATTACTGCAAACAACTATCTCGAAATGCTAAATAGAGAAATTATCCCTGCAATTACACGTCGAATGAATTTAAAAGAAATATACTACATGCACAACAGAGCTCCAGCTTATTACGCTCAACCTGTTCGAGACTTCTTGGATAAAACGTTTCCTAATCGGTGGATTGGTCGACGCGGACCAATTGACTGACCAGCACAATCTTCGGATCTCACTCCGACGGATTTTTTTATGGGGTGTAATCAAAGATCGTGTGTATGCGAGAAAATCTCAAAATCTTCAGGCATTCAATGATGCTATTGTTACAGAAATACAAAGCTTGCCAGTTGAATCATGTCGAAAAGCTTGTCAATCAATACCTGATCGACTACAACTATGTAAAGATGTACAGGATGAACACATTGAACAATATTTGTGAGTGTAATTTTCTTTTTCTTTACCTTTAATAAAAGTTTTGTTAGAACTCAGAGGTGTTTTCTTTTACTGGTTATCCTATACTTGTACGCTTTTGCACAAATTACTAGATCTAGATGTTGTTCATATGCTACATCTTTGATTTATATCATCTAGTATATGTCGTATAAATATGAGACCTAGCCCGTAATGTCTAAACAAAGAAATTGAAACAATACTTTGTTCCGTTACTTATGGCCCATCCTGTATACTCCTATTGGACTAATAAAAAACTTCGTGAATTTCATCAGGTTGTTAAAGAAGCTTACGGAAATTCTTTAAAGTATATAATATATTTATCTCTTTTTAAATAAATATAATTTTTATTTATAGACAATATTAAGAATTAAATAAAATTAATGTTGATAATTATCATTGTGCTTATTCAACAGAAAACGATGGTTGGTATCGAGTTTTAATTCATGAAATGCATTCAAATAGTCATACGATAGTTTTTAAAATTGATTATGGTGAATTAATATATATATATCTATACAATCTCTTCAACCATTACAAGTTAAAAGTTTTGAAAAATTCATTGTATTTTTTTTTTACAAAGTTATTTTCTATTAGGAATGGATGTTTGATGTACCACGTCTAGCTATATATTGTTCATTAGCTAATTTAATTAAACTAATAAATGGTTGGTCATCGAATATTATTGATATTTTTCGTTCATGATCACAACAGTCATGTCTTATGCAAGATTTATTGCCCAAGCCCAATAAAACGGCGTCGTAAATAGTCTGAAACGGCTATAAAACGGCGATTAACGATGTAAAACGTCGATAAACGGCACCGTAATCCGTCATACTAGATTACGGAAGCTAAACCTGGAAAAAACGACGGCCGTTTTCTAGCGATAGAAACGGCTTGTAATACGGTATGACAGATTACTGCGAAATAAGGCCAAAATTGCTGCAGTAATTCGCCATTTTATAGCCATTTCAGGTCGAATAAGACGCCGTTTCCGACGCCCGAAATGATGTACTCAGGATAACAAAAGATGAAAAAGATTCAGTGATGTCAATAAATAAGGAATTCGGTAAGATAAAAGTTTAAATTTTATTGTATTTATTTTCTATTAAATAGAAAATTATAACATAGAATCAGCACAAGTACCAAATCATAATTCATCAATTTATAAAAGTATGTTAATGAATTTATAAATCGAACGTCCTTAATTATAATATATATAAATAAAAGACGTATTGTAAACAAATTTAGAACAATTTAGAAAAATAAAAAGTTTAATATTTGAAAAAAAATTTCATTTAGAAAAAATAAATTGCTCCTTATTTTTGTCAGTAGAGGCGGTTAAAAAAACCATCTTTTCTCAAAAAAAAATTATTTGTTATTTTTCGTTAATAGACGCTTATTTAAAAAGTAAACAAAGTACCTGAAATGAGATACTCTCTAATGAATATAGATTTAGTTATTTTATATTTCTTATCCTTCTTTTTAAAGATATTCCTATGGGAACATTAACTGCAGCTAGACAAAATCAAATTCGCCTTCGATAAGGGCTGTTTCAAGGGAGAAACAGTGTACTCCCTGTACTTCGCGTACTCCACCCACACCCTCGATTTATATCACAAAGAAATTCCGAAAGATCTCGATTGAATGTCGTTAGAGAACATCTCGTTTCGAAAAATTCGATTTTGTAGAGTACGATATTTCAAAGGTGGAACAATAAAAAAAGAATTTTCTTATCATTTGCAAACCCAATGCTTCCTTTCTTTTCCGTAATCGTTCTACAAATAGTCACTCCGGTGATCAACGGAGAGTAAACAATTAAAATAAGGTCAGATATTGTCAAGTTTTTTTTTCTTTAATTAACAAAAGATACAAAAATTTTACAAAGTATACATAATATGAATATGTTAGCATATGAGTATCACTACGAAAGTTATTATATACCAATAATAATTAAAATGAAAAGAACAAGTTGAGAAAATTGTTAAACGTGATTTTATCAATGTTGATCAATCAGGGATTCAAGAAGATTTAATGTACCATCAAGAGAAGGCTCTTCTCGTATTCGTCGCTGTATTATATCACAAACAAGAAAATGAAGACGACGTCGATCATCATCTGATAAGCAATCTTGAAGTTGAATTAATAAAGCTCGAAAATCAAATTATTCATCGATCAATGGAAGCATAGTGTTTTTTAATAGAACAAAATAAAATGTATAGAAAGAAAACATATTCACAAAATCAGGATTTGATATATCCAGATAGTTAAGAAAATGACAAAATGCCATTTTTCTGAACTGAGTGTGAGTGGAACTATCTTGGCTATACCTACTTAGGATTCTACAATCATTAGATATTTTCTCAAAATTCTTCTCCAAAATCTTAGCATATGCTGCGTCTAATAGGAATTTTCGAAGGCTATCTATGTATATTGGACGTAGATGCTTGCGATTTATGACAATAGATTACGTTTGTGTCAAATCCTATTTGTCTATTGTTACAGGCTCTGCCTTCACATATGTAGGTCAATCTTTTTTTTCTCTCTCCTTCTTCTTTTCTCTCTCTCTTCTTCTTTTCTATACATGATATCACCTATTGTATTCTTTGTTATTGCGATATCGAGATATTATTTTTCTTTGTTCATATGATATCATGTATTCTTGCCGTCCATGTCTTTCTTTTCTCTCTCTATATATATATGCGTGTTTACCTCTTTGTCCTTGGTTATTCTTCTATCTTTTTTTTTATATTAAATAAAAGATCTGAACCCTATATTCACTCTTATCTTGCTATCGAAATACGATCAGATGATGCTCCCCTAACATCTATATTAATCAAATTATAATAAATTGAGTAATTTTTAAATTAACTGTTATTATCCTTACATTACAAATCAGTGGAACAAAGAATGTTATTGGTTTTCAAGAATGTATAAATATACTGGGTTGTATACTCATGTAATATTGAATTATTTAGGTATTTTTCTGTCTTTATAACAACATCAAGAAAAAAAACCGATCGTTATGCTTCAATATTTATTTTTGCTATGTCGAAATAAAAGAAGAACAAACAATAGAGAATATGTATGAAAGTTATGATATTAGTGATTAGTTTTTTTCATAGTTGGAAGAAGAATCCTAGAAACTATTTTAGCATTGACTTATGTGTAACAATATCATTCGACAAGATCTAAAATGAGAAATCTGTCTGTATTTAGTCGGAGCTCATTGGTTTCAATCGTGTCGTCTACACTATCTAATCATAGGTAACAAACAGCTTAAAAGGATATCGTCCCCTTTTCGGATGTTAAAATCAATATGTTTTCGAACTTTGGTTTTCTATTGCTAATATAGTGTCGAAGTGTCCTCTGTCAAATGCATTCTTTGTTGTTAGTTAATACTTTTATTAAATTCAACTCTAGAAAAACTCGCGCTGTAATTATTCTTTGCATGCAAAAGTCTCCTAATGATAATTTCTAAAGTTACTAAGAGCATGGATCGCGAACCTCTTACACCGCCAATTTGCTATCATTTTAGTTGGTGAAAAAAAGTTCCTAGCATCTGTAAGAGAAATTTCAGCTCCATCGGACATATTGTGGCTGAGAGAAAACGGAGCGATTAAATATATTTCTGATGAGTCATTCTTCAGAAACTCCGAAAAGAGACAGGTTCCTCGAATATATTCTATAATAAGACATTTAAAAGTTGGCTTTTTTTTTATGAAAATGTTCTATCATTTAGTCATATAACTTGAGCTTCGATGTCATCATGAATGTTTTCATTATTGTAAAAGCTGTAGTATTATTTGAAATATAAGAAGAGAAAACAACAATATTTTCAAAACGAAATTTGTTTTGAAAATTAGAAGATTTATTCTGTTGAATTAAAACAAAATAATTACAAATTTTTCAATAGATCATATCGTTTTTTAATTATTTTTAGAATATTTGTATTATCCAATAAATATTTCATATCGTATTCAAGTTGTTCAAATGCTTTTAATTCTTCGTTTATATCTGATTGATTTTTATGTAAAAAACGTGTTATATGCATATATGTATATGGTTTAATAAATTGTTTTATTTTAACTTTAATTGTTCGATCAATTGAATTAAATGAATTATTATGTATTGATATTAAATGAGTTTTAAAATTAAAAAAATGTTTTGTTCGATAATAACATTTATTAATTCGACATAAAAAAAGAGATATTAATTTATCTGTTTCATGTGGTCCATGATTACTTTCATTAAGATGTTTAACAAGTAAAGATAATGTTTTAAATTGTTCATTACATTCCATACAAATATCATCTTGTTTAATAATCAAATCAAAAGTTTGAAAAATAGAAGCTATTGAATAAATATAATCCATGTTATGTGAAAGATGTGAATGAATTGCACACGAATTAACATTTGAAAATGGTTCATAACAAATAGGACATACCTATATCAGAAGAAAAAAAATCATGTGAAAAATAAATAATTGCTGTTTTGTGACTTTAGCCTTTTAGTTATGAGGTCTGTATATATACGGATTGAACTCTTATGCAGATTAACACTTTTAGAATCTTATCTATTTTTCTTTAATTTTATATTACATAATCTAGTCAGATCCGATATTAAATTCACTGCTGAATAGAAGTTTGTATAGAAAGTCATCGAACCGATTTGTGTAAGAATACAGAAATATTGTATTAGAAATAGTCTCGAGCCATCGAATATGTTTCTCTCAAGTTTTGTTTTGATCAAATTGAGAATTGTTCTATTAGCAAAATAAACTAATTAACGACTCTGTCATCATTAAGAATTACTTGTTCTGTACTCGACCTATACATTCACCTTTACCCATCTTTTACCTAGTGTGTAGCATAGAAGCGAAAATCGGTTCGATCACAATTGAGCAATTTATTGTACTTGGGAACAAATCACAGAAGTGAAAAGCGATATTGTTTTACTAAAGGAATTTGTTCTTAATTAAAATTTATCTGTAGATGATGAAAAACCATATGATCGAGTAACTGAATACATGGAAAATTATCAAACAAAGATGAGCATATATATTATCGTGTTGGAGAAAGCATTCAGGTAAATATCTACAATTATGATGTTTTTGATATTAACACTGTGTTTCATTAATAACCAAAGGTATACTTAGCGAAATTGATTGGATTTTAGAAACAAAAAGACATCAAGTGGTTCCCTTTTTGTTGCTACTGATGATAACATAAAGGTTTGAAAACCGTACTATGAAAATATCTGTCGGATATCGATTAGCTTCAGTCCGGTTGCGAAAATTCGTATCCATGCAGAACATTATAGAACCTTGAAATCAGCCTCATTGAATTAAAGAATTTTTATTCTTATCAAGCTCGCTTTTAGTCAAACAAATAAAAAAGAGTAGATAAACACTTAATTGATTAACACGTGAGTTAAATATTTTTCTTACAATAATTGAATCAAATGTATTTTTATCATATCTATTCATTTGTATACAACTTCGACGAATACAATGATTAAGTATCATTGTTGCACTATCAGTTCGATATTCTGTAGCTGATAAATGTAATTCACTTTCTAAATGTCGAATCATATTATCTTCTAATGCACGTGTACAATGACATATATCACACATATATACACGAGACCATGATGATGAAGTTAATTTTGTATCATCTATTGATATAAAATTCAGTGGACATGTTACACAAATATGTTGCAAACCATTTAATAGATCTTTAAAGATATAAATTTGATTATTTATTTTAAAAAAAGAATAGAAAATAAATAACCTGTTAAATTTTCTTCATTATCATATTGAATTTTCGGTAATAAATAAAATTCTTCTGTTGATATTAAATTAGATTTTTTTTTAAAACGATAATAATCACATATATCCGATGTTAATATTCCAAGCTACTAAATTAATCTTAGTAAATAGATTTATAATAATAAAGAAAAATACTTTTCGTTTAATAATTATATCTGTATATGTTATTGCAGCTTGAAAAAATGTTTCAATTAATTCTTTTCGAAGTTGTTCTAATTCATTTTTAATATTCCATGAAAAATTTGTAATTTCTTCATTTGGACGATTCATTACAAATTTATCAATAGAATTCGATTGAGAAGTCAAGGACATTTTAAAATCTAGTCAATATATTTAAAATGATCTCCAGAGAAGAAGGGAAACAATGAAAATGGCGCTGAATCTAGTCTATTTCTAAAAATCAGTTGTATGCGTCATCATAAGTGAAATATAATGAGTGTCTTAGGAAAAATTGCGCTAAATCTCAATGCATTTTTCTCTCGTTTTTCAATCTACAAAATTGTCGACTTTGTTTGTCGGTACAAAATTTAGAAGGAGAAGAACACCTACTTGGCTGTTCAACTGCGACGATTAAGAAAACAAAAAAATCGATAACAATCTCTATTAAATTTAATCTATACCTAATTTTCTTCATAATTAAATTCTGCATCCGATAGCATAATAATAAATCTTTCATACAGTAAGTTTGGCTTTTGAAAATATGATTTTCTAAAATCCATGCAAAATTACCAACAGTTGTCAGTTTCAAGTTTTTTTTCTTGTAAACACAAGTCCTGGGACCCTTGTAAAGGTCATACAAGCATACAATACAAAATTCTCTCTCTCTGCTCGTATTAGGTAATTTACTTTTGGCGTTGGTTTTATAAAAATCAGCAGACATCAACTGAGCATAGGAAATCGCAGTTGAATGATTAAGCAGGCTTGAATCTTTTAAATTTGGCATTGGCAAAATGAAGATTGTTTGAAAAACAAAGCTAACAGTTAGAAATTCTATCTCCTTCGGCATATAAAGAAAACTTTTTATGCTTATGAAGTAAGAGAAAAAGACAAAGGAAAATGTGCCAAAACATAAAGCCAACAACTAGTGTAGATTCTTTCGAAAATATCTTACAAATTGATTTATTTTTAGAAATTTTATTCCATATAGACGATAAATTATCACCGTTGAGTCTCAAAACAAGTAGTTCATGTTGTCGATCAGTTTTTATATAACTATGCTTGCAGAGAAATCTAATCATATAAATTCAAACTGTCGTTAGAAAAAAATCGATGAACTTTAATATATAAATTGGACTCGGCAGTTGTATATTCATGTATCGCTATAGGTAGCTATCGAAACTAGGACTTATATTCTTAACTCACATATTTCAATTGAAGCTTTACTATTGATTTCTTTTGTGAAACATGATTTAAAGGGAGCGTTGAAATATAGGGGTAAAAATTTGCACGTCCTACAGACCTTGTATCAATAATGTCTCATCATAATGTATGAACTATTATCCATTTCAAGAAAGAATGGACTTGGTTGTTTGTTGAATGACTCGGGAACACTAGTAGCTATCGAGCTCGGGTTTTCATCGTTAAAAAGAGCATGAGTGGGGGTACAACAAGTCTACCTGAGAATCAAAATACTTGAAAAGTTTTCTAAAGAGTTTCAAGGATTTTTTGGAAAATTACTGTTTGATTCGCTTGATTAGCTGTATTTTCAAGTGAAATTGACAATCCAAAGGAACATCCTTTTTGACTAAAACTTTTAGGATATTTTCAGTAAGAGTTGTCTTTTATTTCTTGCAATAATTCATCTAACATCAAAATTTGTGATGTTTAAAAGTCAATATTAAATAAAAAATAATAATAACAACAACAACAACAACAACAAAAAATAATATTTATTACATAATAAAAATTTCAACTATAATTTTAAACGTTCAGTTCTTTGTTGTTCAAGCCAATCAAGATATGTTTTAATTCGTTGAGTTTTTTCTTCATTCATAATTTGATTTTCTTTAAGAATATCTTTACATTGATTTTGTATATTAATCAATGTTTTCGATTTCATTTCATATTGTAAAATAATCCAATATAAATGCCATATATTAAATGCTGGCCAATAAACATCAGCAAATATCCACATAGAAAATCGACATTGTAATAACATAAAATCACTTAAACGTAATTCACCTGATGTACGAAGAAATATATCAGGTAAATGACCTGTATGACTTGTTGATACAATTAAACTTTGCATTATTAAATCATCATCAATATCACTAATATTTATTAAATCTTTTTGATAACCTTCAATTAAATCTTTAATTATATTTGTTATTTCATTTCTTGATGTATAATAAAAACAAACATTTAATATAAAATTTTTATATTGATCAGTTTCATTCATTAAATAATAACTTGATTGTCGAATATCATCAGGTAATAAATCTAAATTTCCAATAATACGTATACATATTTGTTGTTCATGAATTTTTTCTAAAGATTTTTCTATTTCACTTAATTTTAAACGTGCTATACTCATTAATGTATCAATTTCATCTTGTGAACGTTTTAAATTTTCAAGTGAAAATGCATAAACACTTAATTCAGTTATACCTAAATCATAACACCATTGACAAACATCAAATAATTTATCTGCACCTAACGTATGACCACGTGAACGTTCAAAATTATGTTCACGTGCAAAACGACGATTACCATCCATAACAATAGCTATATGTTTTGGTCGAGTTGTACAACCATAACGTATTATATTACCAGCACAACGTTGTAACCATGTATAATGAAAATTACTTGAATTATTAACAGTAATAAGAGACATCTGAAAACAAAAAATTTGATCGAGATGTTTTACATTGACAAAAAATAATTTCAAGGAAAAAATATAAATGACATAGTTTAATATGCTATATGAATGAATTTTATAGTTTGTTGTAGTACGAAAAGAAAAAATTTATCAAGGTGCACTAAGATTTTAGCACGTCAGATAGGAAGAACTCGATAAACTACAGACAACCAATAAAGTTAAAGCCTATAGATTTCGCTACATGTCGATAATGTTTATTTTTTCGAGATGAACATCTTTCTAACCAAAGGTTCTTGAGTTACGCATGTGGGTGGATACATCGAACATATAAAAAAAGCAGCAGAGATAAATCGTTTTTTGATGGGTCTAAGAAAAGACTAATTTGTTAAGAGTTGAGCTTGTACCTTAGGCGGTGGGTAGGTGCAACATTTTTGATGACATACTCATCTGGAAGTTAAATGCAGTAGTTGCAAGAAGTCCCGCTAACTAGTAAAAGGTACATAAATCTCAATCTGTTTGTTTGATATTTTGACTACAAATAGATTTCTGTGATTTCTGATCGCAAGTAGTATTCCGAGGTCGATAGACATTAATGGAAAGGATCTACGATGAAAACATTGACTTTTCTTCTAGGACTCAAAAAAGATTTTTTAATACTTTTCTGATTTTTCACTATTTAGATATGTTAACCTCCATTATCTTATTAACGAATAAAGATTCACATGTCTATATTGTGCCACAGATAGGGTATTGCACTACGCTCTAATCTTGAGGCGCGACATTGTCTGGAACAATCTCAATGTGGACCTCTTCTACATCGATATCTGTGAGGATTCTGAAATTTTGAGAAAAAATTTAATTGGAGCAGAACATCCACAGGAAAAAATTTCAAGACAAATGGCTAAAATTAACTGGAACTTAACCGTTTGACATGAAATTTTCGTTGGTGATATAGACAGCGCACTGAGCTGTCGAATGTGAGATCTAACATCATGAGATTTGTTTTCTATGTTGAGATATTCTCACCTGAAGAAAAAACCTATGTTGGCCTTCGAGCTCCTCTGCGTAAAGACCGATCAAGTCTTTGCGATCAATGTTTAGCATGCTCTATTTGTAGTCAGTATTTCCGACGAGTGAAAAACTATGAGTTAGGATACTCTTTTTGAATGTGGACTTAGAAATATTGTCTCAGATATTGTTCGAGAGCAGTGAGAGATTTTTTGAAAAATTATTTTCAATGGTAGGCCAACAGGTTTTTGTTTATCATATAAGTCCGCTTTGGAACATGCTAAAAATTGTCGTAGTCAATTCTTTTGTAGAGTGAACATTTTTCTACAAAATGCGATATTGAACTAAGCTGTAACTTTTATGCAAGTGAGGCTACTAACATTTTTTCAAGAACTTCTTTCAACGTGAAACAGTTGTTGATCTTTCAAGAATAAATATTTAGGAAAAACGAAAATTGAGGTATCTTGATGAAAGATTAAAAATCTTCATATAGTGCATTTTGTAAGGTAGCTTCTGTTCTATAAGTTGATATATAAATGAAGATCCTAATTTTTAGTTTCGAATCATAATAGTGAAAATAAAATTTTCAAAGTACTACTTTCAAACAAAAACATACGAAAAGAATATTCTAATTCATAGTTTTTGACTCATCAGAAATATTTTCTAGTAGGCCAAAAGTGAACAAACATCCTGTTTAAATGTTTTCTAATCATCCATTAGTTTCATAAGAGTATAAATCAATATGGAGGAGTTGTCTCGATATCACAAATGAAGATATCATATTCTATTTTTCCAGCTTAGCTCTGTATCTACTGCGTCCTTATGTTATCGAAAACGGTAACAGATCGATCAGATAAACATTTGACTGAGAAACATAGATATGATAATAAGACGGCTCTTTCATATTGATTCATGCTCATATCTAGTTGCTTTCTTCAAAGAGAACTACTCGTTCTTGCAAATTTGACAAAAGCGAAAAATGACATGATATGTCTAGTAGTAAGATATAGCTTAAAAATGAAAAATTTAGACAATTTCGTTTTTTTCAAGACCGAAACGGAAACAGTTAAGATATGGATACTTGAGATCCCTAACAGATAGGATGCTTTTGAATTCATTTTCAAGACAGTACATTCAAATATGTTTCCTTGTTAGTGATTGTAAAAAAATCAAACTTTCTAATATTTTCTATGCACAGATAGGAATATACAATGAGAATTTTATTTGTTCAAAATTTAAGCTCGAAAATCGATTTGTTGAAAAAACTCACTAAAATCATCATATAAGTAGAACATCACTGATCTATTCAATTATTGTTATTTGAAACTTATGAAATCGTATTATTTTAATTTAGGTTACTGCACAATTATCCTGTGTAAGGAGCAGCGATGTGCGAGACCATATTTTATTTTAGTCTCAGTTTCGGCTTAGAGGAAACTATTTTAAAATGTATGCGGATTGAATTTTTAAAAAAGTTTTAAATACTCCTGCTTTGATTAATTGGTCATTCCTCTTGAATTTTTTGTTATCTCAGCCTCGAACATCTTTAGTCAAAAGAAAATCGATTCGGTAAAATGTACGATTGAATAATATACAAACTGGTTTTTTTTTTATTTACTTTTCAATGAAGTATTTGATGAATATAGAAGTAATCTCATGGAATTGTTCATTTAAATGACAAGGTTACATCTTGAACATAAAAGGCTCTCGACAGACTTCGTTATTGAATATGATTTTTTTTTAAATGCTTGTTCATTATATACATACATACACAACATTTTTTTTTCCTTGTACATTTTTTTTTCTATTCGTCAGTACATTATGAAGAAATGTAAATATAACATGTTGACTGTAACACCGTTTCTCTTTCGTCTTGTAAAGGTTTTCATTAATTAACTTGTATTACAAAGTAAATTTATGGAATAATTAATTTATTATTTTAAACAATAGTATATTGAATACTATATTTGTGTAGAAATTTTTATCATCTTATCCTTGAACATGCACATTTATATGAAAATAATTAACAGTCACAATGTTGAATTTATTCATTTCGATAGTCAATTTTTGTAATAACAAGAAAACCTTCATAAGCAAAATTCTGTTTATATTTGTCTCTCTATGCTTTTTTTTTCAACTTAAAGTCAAGCCATTTTTTATGTTTTTTGGATGAATATTAACTTGTATAAGATTCAACAACGATCATTCATGGTTAATAATGTATTTGACGGTAAAGAATAAATTTAAACTAACTAATATATATTTTTTTTTATATCAATTTTAGAATTTTCTCAATCACATTATAGTCGAAAGATTCTTCAAACTGATTCTTCATCATCATCATCATTTGATATTTCTCAACCATCATTCATAGCTCTATTATGTATTATTTCAATTCTTACATTTGTTTTTATAATAATCGTTATTATATTTTGTTATCGACATTATTCTCATCAAGGACGGATATTCAAATGTCGACATAAACATGATAATAAATACAAAAACACGTTATCTATACAAAATAATCAACAATCGATTATACCAATATCAATAACACCAATATCGGCATATTCTGTTCGATCAACTGAACATTTATTTTCAAATTATTATGAACATGATCAAACTTCATCAATTGATAGATTACCATCACGTCGTTTGCAACAATCAATAATAGATGCTTATTTAAATGATTTAAATTCATTTCAAACATCAAAACTTGATGTTAATCAATTAAAATCATATTTATTTATTGATCTTCATTCAACATCAAGTGAAACATCTCCAGATAATATTTCTAAAATATTTAGTAATAATAATAATACTTATGATAAATCAATTGAAAATGAAAATCAAAGAAAATATCATGAGTATCTTAAACAACAACGACGTCGATCAACATTAAAATTAAAACAATCATATAATTCTCGTTTTATTATGCGTGAACGATCTTTACCAAATAATCTTCATCAACTTCCACAACTTCGTCAAATAAATATACAACAACAACAACAACAACAAAAAAAAAATTTATTTCAAAAAAATAATAATAATAATAATATTAGAACTATTATTAATCAAGATCTTCAATCAAATATAACTGATGATTATGATAGTAGTCATGCTTATCATGTTAATCAAAATCATATAATGCAAACAATCAATGAAGAAAAACCTTCTATGATTCCACAAAATTTTCCTCATTCATCTGTATCACCTTTTCGTCTTCATTATGATCAAGAACCATATTTATATGAAAAAGTTTCAACTTCACATGGTGATGATAGTGATATTGAAATACCGTATCAATCTTTTCCTATTCTACGTAACGGAATTATCTATACAAATGATTCAATTATTGTATAAAAACAAAAAAAAAAAAAAAAAAAAAGTAAAAAATTTTTTTTTCAACATTTGAAAATTATAAAATAAAATAAAGACAATATTTAAAAATTTCATACCAATGACTATTAAGATGGGTAAAGACTTGACAATATCGAGATTAATTGAATATGATATATAATAGCATGCATTTTATAAATGTCTTCCTTTTTTTTTCGACAATCATTTTATTGTTCGAAATCGTATTGCATCAAAAATTTCATCAATATAATGAATATATCGTTGTCCAATACATAATAAACCTCCACTAATTGATAAACCAATTCCTAAACGAAGAGCTTCTTTATCAGGAAAAATTGATCGAATAAGTGTCATCACTAAAACTGTACCAAAATTAAACATTGTTGAACCATAAATACTAAACCAAAAACAAAAACGATTTGTTTTTTTGAGGATTTGACAAAATGTTCTTATTCATTTAATTTATCCTACCTATATAATAAACGTTCAAATGGATTAGTACTTTGTAAATGTTTTGAAGTATATAAATACATAGTAATACCAGCATGAGATCCAAACCAGAGTGCATCGGTTAAAGGTAAATCAAACCGAGAGCCGATAAGCCTGCTAATAGGAATAAAATGAAATATATTTATATATATATGTAGTTTGTTGATAAAATATCAAACCGAGGAAACGATGTTGGTGAGAGTACATGTGCTGAAAATCCAAAGAAGAATGGTGTTGCTAGAAAATGTCTATATTTTGCAAATAAAGATTGTCGACGAGCACTAGAAAACGATGGTTCTGACATTTTTGTGAAAACTTGTTTACAAAATCAAGTTCTTATTGTTTGTATTCTATTGCTTACAATGTCAAGGCGCCGCCACTGGTCTATTCGTAGATTTTTATCGTACAGACAACTGGATCAATGATCTTCCAATCGTCATTTTTTCTTTTCTCTTTCTTTCTTCGTTCTTCCGCCCTCTGTACGAAGGATTTAACATTTTTTTTTTCGGATAAGTTGTTATTTATCTCTTGTGTTTTTTTATTTTAATGAAAAAAAATCGAATCGAAAAAAAAAAATTCAATTTTTCGATTTGAGTTTTTTTTTAGGTTTTTCATGTGTTCTTTTTTCAATAAATTTCGATTATTGTTCAATGATATCTATTTAATATACGATAAGTATATCTATATGAAATAATAAATTATTCGAGATCTAAAGATTTTAGCAGACTAGTGACTATGATTATATTCGCGTTTCTTCTTCTCTTCTTTTCTTTTCTTGTCGACAGTAAGAGGTCAATCGTTTTGTTGAAACAGGCGTCGTTTGTAGTCGGCGTTCGACACGGCATGTTCTCTTTTGCGTTCTTCTCCCCCTCCCATCACCATCCATTTTCCATCTTGCGAGAGTATAAGCAAGTAAACGAGCCAGCCAATTCAGAGTGCACATGATCGTAGTTCGCTTTTGTGTATCCATCAAGAAGAGTATCGTTATGAGATGATCTATTCATTGTTATCTATATAGATATTTGATGAACTGAATTATATCCATATTTAAATATCTCAAAGATTTTTGTTTTATTAGAAGATAATAATAACAAGAAAGTAAGAAGGATTATTTTAATGAACAATAGAAAGAATATTAATTGAGAATTTCTATCCCTCATTTAAATAAGATTAAAGATTCGAATCTAATTAGTTACAATATGGGAATCATTGTCAAGATTGTTAGTTTTTTCTTTTTTTTTTTTTTCGTTTTTTTTTAATGACATATACATATGTATATGTACAATTGATGTTCATAGTCTATATTGGGTCTGTCTACTTTCTTCTTTTTTTCTTTTTTTTTTGCACGCTTGAGGAAACAAATCATCACATTTCTCTGCACGGAGTCGCTCGCATATTCAACGGGTCCTTTACATTCGTCATCGTATTCTGTTTCTTCACTCGACTATTCTCTATTTAGACTTCTGTCTACGTCGATCTTTTTCTGTGTTTGCCTGTATGCGTAGGTGTATGTGAATGTTGGCTTCTTTATTGCCATCATCGCAAAACTACTTTCTTTTTTTAAACGCTATAAGGTATGTCTGTGTGTGCGTGTGTATGTGTATGCGTTTGTTGTTGAGAAATTCGAGTTTTTCATGAAGTTCAAATTGAATCATTGATGATGGTGAGATGATTATAATGTCCTTTTTTTTTGTTCTTCTTATTCCTTGCTTTCTGTAGTAGAGCCAAATACCTTCGGTCGTCAGTAAACAAGAAACTCGGGTCTGACCGAGGCGGCGGCGGCGGCGGCAATGACGACGGAAAGAGAGAGAGAGGAAAGAAAGAACGAAATTCCGTATTGAGGGATGATAGAAGGAGATGAAGGGTTGCTTACCCTCCTTAGTTGACTGGTAGCGGCCCCATTAAGTTTTACCCTTCTTGTTTGCTCTCCTACTGTTGCTGTACTGCACACACGCTCACAATACAGGTACAGTCACGCGGTTACGATATTATCTTTTTTTTTTTTAAAAAAAAAAAGAAAAAGATGAAATCTATTCGTATATATATATAATTTTCTTCAATATCGTAACTCTTAACGTTTTATTTCCTTTTCTAGATATATCATGATAGGAAAAATTTTACTAAAACAATCAATTAATCAAATTTCTATACGTTCAATCAATATATGGTATGTATTATTAATAATTACTTTTGTTTTCATATAAACAAATACATACATACAATAATAAAAAAAATCCCTAACAAACAAATTATTTTTTTTGTTAAAAAATAAATATTCAAAAACGAAAAGAATTTCAGATAAAAAAAAAAGAAAAGAACCCTATTATGTCGAATAAACGACCTTTATCACCTGAATCAACTAATAGTCAAATTAATGATATTAATATACGTTCATTAAAACGTTTAAAACTTCATTCAATAATACAAGAATTACGAAATGAAGAAGCTAATTTAGTTATATTGAAAAAATTACGTTCATGTCAACAATTAGCAACACGAACAAATAACAATATATTACCAGCAACAACAACAACAACAACAACAACAACAACAAATGGTTTTCATCCTACAGCAACACGTATTCTAACAACTAAACCTACAACACCTAATACTTCATTGTCTAATTCATCATCACGTACATCTCTTCAACAATCATTAACATCAGCTACACGTAAACCATCAAATTCAATAAATCCACCATTACCAACAAAAATTCCAACACCTCTACCAACAAAAACTTCATCATCAACAATTTATTCACTTGAAGAACGTAAAACTCAAGCTAAAAAAGCTTTACGTACACAACTTGAACGTGATTTATTAAATATTCCATCACCAAAACCATTATTACGAGATATATTATTTATACCAAATCCAACTAGTCTTGAATTTCAACCATATATTGGTCTTGAAGATGTTGTACAATGTTTATATGAATTACAAACTGATCGACAACGTTTACCACAACGTTTTACTGATCGTGCACATATTGATGAACCATATATATGTGATCATTGTGGTACAGATTTTACAATACGTTGGTGGAAACATATAAATACAAATCAACAAATAAATATATTATGTGATCGTTGTAAAAAACAAGTTATACGACGTACATCAAAATCTGAACATTCAACATTATTAAAAAATGTTTTTGTATCAGCTATGGAACAAGAAAAAGAAATTGAAAAAACTTTTCAAACACTTATTAAACAACAACAAAAAAATGCATCACGTTCATCATCATCATCATCAGTATCAACAACAAAACCAGTTACAAATAATACTAATAATAATCGTCCAATACCATCTATTCCATCATATAATCATCATCATCATCATCATCATCAACAACAACAACAACAAAAACCAAAAACAAAAATATCTTTACCACAAACACAAAATTTTGCAACAAAAATTTCTCAACAATCAACATCATTGATAAATGCAACACGAAAATCAAATGTTATTGTACAATCACAAATAAATTCAACAAATAATATACGATCATTACAACATAATAAAATACCTATGCCAGCTCATCAACATCAACAATTTCGTTCAGCAACTGCTTTACCACAACAAACAAAAACTAATCAATTAGTTAAAACATCTAAAACTGCTATACGACAACAACAACAAAATCAACAAGTTGTATCATCTCGTCCTATGTATCATCAACCAACAAGTGGTATAATTTCATCTTCAAATATTCATCCATCAATATCATCATCAACTAATATAAGACCAACAGCAACTAAACGACGAACACTTCCTACAGTTAATATGAAATAAATTGGAAAAAAAACAACAAATTAATAATTATATTTATGCATATGCATGATCTCAAACATTAACAACATGTTTTTCTCTAGGATAATTTGTACTTTCTTTTTTTTCTTCTTTCTTTCTTTCTTTTTTTTTCTGCTTATGTGTGTCTATGTATCTTTTGTGGTGCAAAAACGAATAATCTTATGTATTAAAAAAAAAACAAAAAAGAAACAACTTGATAAAGGTTGAGTTATGTGATACTTATGTATATATCTTTCTATTAGGAATGGTACCAAAAAAGCTTTAGTATTCGTGGCTAATGGTTCCGAAGATATTGAAGTAGTGGCTACGGTCGATGTGTTACGACGAGGTGGTATCGATGTAAAATTATGTAGTGTTGAAAAAAATGATAAAAAACCAATAACATGTGCTAATAATATTCAACTAGTACCTGATTTACATATAGACGATGTTCAAGGACAAAAATTTGATGCTATTATTGTACCTGGAGGTATGTATCATCTATATAAAATCAAGAATCATAAAAAATGTTGTGTTTTTATTTTTAATTATTTAGGTAGTAAAGGTACAGAACAGATAGCATCGTGTAAAAAAGCGGGTACTCTTCTTGTTGATCATTATAAAACAAATAAATTAGTTGCAGCTATTTGTGCTGGTCCTATAGCATTAAGTACACATTTATATGATGCTGATGAAAATACACGTAAACATGATATAACATGTTATCCTGAAGCAGTTAATACACTTAAAAATAAATTTAAATCAATTAAACTGGATACACCTGTTGTTTATAGTGAAATTAATAATCATCATTTAATCACAAGTCAAGGACCAGCAACAGCAATTGAATTTGCTTTAAAAATTTTATCTCATTTAATTGATGAAAAAAAAGCTGAAGAAATACGTAAAAAAGTACTTGCTTAACATTTCATCATTCTTATTTTTCTTTTTATGTCTTCTATCATATATAAATAAACTCGCATTTTGTATTTTTTATCTAATCGAGCAAATAAATGAGTTTTTTTCCTTTTTTTTTGTTCTGTTTTTTTTTCAGAATACAATGACATCAAGTCGTTATGAAATTGATGATGAAATATATATAACTAATCTATTAACAAATGAAGATATTCCTTCATTTGTTAAATATCTTAATAATCCAACAATATATACTAATACACTGAAAATACCATATCCATATTCAACAAATGATGGTGAAGATTTTATTAAATTTCTCAAATCGGAATCATTAAATTCAACACGTTTTTTTACTATTCGTTTACAGGCTAATAATGAATTAATAGGTGCATGTGGTTTACATCGTTCGGTTAAAAATGAAAGGAGAACAGAAATTGGATATTGGTTAGGTGAACCATATTGGCATCGTGGTTTAATGCCTAAAGTTATAAAAAAAGTAATTGAAATAGGAAAAAATGAATGGAAAAATTTAGTTCGAATTGAAGCACAAATATTTCATTGGAATAAAGCATCAATGCGAGTTGTAGAAAAATGTGGTTTTACATTTGAAGGAATATTACGTAAACGTGTGCATAAAAATGGGCAAGATATTGATGTACATTCATATGCATTGATTCTTGAATAATTACAATACAATTCATTGATATTGATGATTATTTATTACAATTATTTTTCTTTTAGATTGATTTTTGTTTTTTGTCTTAACAAACTGATTTAAAAGAAAAAATAAATGTTTTTTTGTAAGTTCAATTGTATTCTAAATATAGATGATTTCCTCTTTATTCTATTTTGTATGTCACTAGAGAAAATAATAATCAATAGAAGAGAAAGAATGTTAATGATTATTTTTATTGAACAAAATACGAAAAGAAAAAACATCTAGAGATTTAAAAGGAAGTAGATAATTGAACAAAGTCATTGACAAGTCTAATGATAATGTTAATTTATAGAAAAAAATAATAATAATAATGACAGAGACAAAGCTATTGTTAATATTCTGTAAATCAAGTCATAAATTCTGACGATAGCATTTTTAGAAGAGTAACTGACATGGTTGACATTTTTTGTCATCTAGTATGTGTTGAAGAGAGATGTGATAGATAGCACGTTAAAGACGAGAAAATATCGTAAGTTGATATGAAAACTTAATGATATATTGAACAAAAATTGGAATACTTTATTTCATTATTATCCATTTTATCTAAGATATATATATATATATCCATTAATCATTTTCATTTCAAATAAAAATGTTCGCTAGTTATACTTGATAAGAACGACAACAGAAACAAATCCAATATTAGAAAATTTTTATGTAGGTTGTCTCTTTTTTTGTCTTTCTTCGGAATAATAAATCCTTGTTGGATTTCTCTCTATAGATATACTTAAATAGCAAATCTCATTTTAGAAATGTTCTCATGTAAGTAAAACAATTATTTGTATGTGTCATAAAAAATTATTTTTATCTTTTGCAAAAAAAAAACAATTTTCTTTTTTTTTCTATATATATATATATTGTGTTTATCTAATCTTTGACGTTGAATTAGTTTGATTGATTCAATGACAATAGAATATGAAAAATCTTAAACAATATTAGTTTCTTACTAAAATTAAATATCGAATAATGATATAACTAAATAGAAGTGTTCTGAGATTGGTAGGAGTGGGTGTAGAAATTGATGACTCAAGAGACCAATTAGAAGATTTTTTGATAAAGTTGACCTAATTTTCGGAGAAGGGAGAGTTAAGCAGTTTTTTTTGGGAATTAGTGAGCAAAGAAAAAATAATAAAACGTTAGAAATCCACTAGTAAGAAACAGACATTTAGAATGGAAGGTTACTCCACAACTAAATCGAGTTCATTTTATCATACGAAAAATTTTGTGTATCATTCATAATTCAATGATTCTATATTTTTCTTTAGGTCCTCGTTGTGGTAATATGCTATTTGTAGAACAAGGTGATCGATGTAATCGTTTAGCATGTAATACATGTCCATATATATGTGATATTGTAACTAAAATAACGGATCGACAATATACAAGTTTAAAAGCAGTTGATGATGTTCTTGGTGGTGCAGCATCAATGGATAATGTTGATAAAACAGAAGTAACATGTCCAAAATGTGCTCATACACAAGCATATTTTATGCAAATGCAAACACGTTCAGCTGATGAACCTATGACAACATTTTATAAATGTGTACAATGTGGTCATCGTTGGAATGATTAAACGAAAAAAAAAAAAGAAATACGAATAAAAGAAATAATAGATGTCACTAATTGTAAGAATTTATTCATGTTGTTATTCGATTCGTCATATATTAAAATAAACGAAAAAAAAAAAATTTATCTTATGTCAACTTATGTTCTTTTTTTTTTTGTTAGAAAATCTTCGAATAGAAAAAAAAAAAAACAACATAAAGGTTGACATAGAAATCTTATTGGTTAAAATAATCCGTTCGTTTAATTGAACATATATCGTGCGAGAAACAGACAGAGAGAGAAAGAGAGAGAAAACGAGAGAGAGCAACATCTGACATTGTCAGTTAATTTGTTCGTCTATTTACTTTCCAGATAATCCAAACGAAACATTTTCATACATCTATCTATGACATACAATAGTTTTTATCTACGATCTTAAATTGAATATTATTCTTTCATGGGAAATCGTAATGGTAGTTCACGTCGAAAACAACGTGATAATTCATATACATATTCAGATGATAGTCGTCGAGATGGTTCTATAAAACCTAAAACTAGTGGAAATGTAACTCGAAGACCAAATCAACCACAAACACCTACGACTCATCGATATACAGATGGTTATGGAGGAACTCCTGTAATACAAACAACTAATAATTATAATTCAAGTAAAATTATTTATTTCTTTATTAAACTAATTGATTTTCTTTTTTTTTTTTTGTTTTTATTTTCAAGATAAATTAATTTATGTAGCTAATTATGATTTTAATGGTACATCAACAACTGGTGAATTAAGTTTTCGTAAAGGTGATAGATTAGAAATACTTGATAGATATTCGTAAGTAACTTTTCTTTTTTTTTTATGATATACATATTTAAAATTTTTGTTTAGTTTTAATGATTGGTGGCAAGCTAAAAATTTACGAACAAAACTAAGTGGTTATGTACCAGCCAATTATATATCAGCAATAAATGATTTAACAGCATGCGAGTAAGTTATAAAAACTTCAAAGATTAATGAATATATATATATTATATTTAGATGGTATTTTACTGAAACAAATCGTCGTGATGCTGAACGATTTCTTGAGCAACCACATAATGGCAAAGGAACTTTTTTGATTCGACCTTCGGATACTAACCAAGGTATATTTTCATAGAATATATTTTTTTGATAATTTAATTCTAATATATATTTCTTTTTCTTCTATAGGTCAAGAATCATTATCTGTTCTTGATTTAAGTAAAGATAAACATTTTCATGTTAAACATTATCGTATACGTCGAACTGATCAAGGATTATATTATATTAGTAGTAAAAGTGTTTTTCCAACATTACAAGATCTTGTTGATCATTATCGAAGTAAAGAATTAAAAATTTTCTTATTTTCTTATATAAAAATATTTTTCTTTTTGTAAAGCAAATGCTGATGGTCTTTGTTGTTTATTAACACGTCCATGTCGAAAAATAGAACCAACTGTTCCAGCTGATCGACATGGTTTATTAGAATTAGATCGTTCACAACTTCAACGTACTGACTTACTTGGTCGTGGAAATTATGGTGAAGTTTATAAAGGTAAATATGGACAACGTGATGTTGCAATAAAATGTATGAAAATGGATAATAAAAATCGTTTATGTAATGTTGATAAATTTCTTGATGAAGCAAAAATAATGAAAGATCTTTTACATAAAAATATTGTACGTTTATATGGTGTATGTACACAAGAAGAACCAATATTTATTGTTACTGAATATATGACACATGGTTGTTTATTAAATTATTTACGTGATGGTCCAGGAAAAACTTTAAAATTTAAAACTATACTTGATTTTGCTGCACAAGTAAAGAATATAGAAATTTTTTTATAAAAAAAAAAAAAAAAACCATCAAAAATTTTATTTTAGATTGCCAAAGGTATGGCTTATCTTGAACAAAAACGATATGTTCATTGTGATTTAGCTGGTAAAATTTTTGATTTTAAATTACAAAAAAAAAAAAATTTTTCTTTTGTTCTTTTTAAGCTCGAAATATTCTTGTTGGAGAATTAGATGTTGTAAAAATAGGTGATTTTGGTTTAGCAAAAATTCTTCAAGGTGGTCGTTTAATGGTCGATAGAGAATCACAATTTCCTATTAAATGGACAGCACCAGAAGCAGCAACAAAAAAAGAATATACAACGAAATCTGATGTATGGAGTTTTGGTATTCTTCTATATGAATTAATTACACATGGTTCAAATCCATATCCTGGAATGTCAAATAATGAAGCATTACAAACAGTACTGAATGGTTATCGAATGCCAAAAGTAAGATTTTGTTTTTTTTGTTTTTGTATTTATTTTTTAATGATCACATTTTTTAGCCACATGAATGTCATGAACATTATTATCAAATAATGTATTCTTGTTGGCAAGATAATCCAGATAATCGACCTACATTTGAAACACTTTATATGCGTTTTGATGAATTTATGATACAAGCTGAACCAAGCTACCGAGAGGTAAATTATAGTCAATTTAAATCAGATCGATATATTATTTGAGGTTGTAAAAAAAAAAAAGTTTTCAGTACAATTTTGTTTTAATAAAATACGATAAAAGTCAGTCTCATTGTCAAGATATGAATAAAGTTTGTAAAAGAATGATATATGACTTTATTGTTATATAGTATATTTAACAAATATATTGTACGTATGATACAATTGTAATTTTTGCTGATGAGATTATTAAATAGAAAATTAAATGTTATTCAATTTGTTATCTGCTATTTGAATGATGAAGAGATTTATCAATAAAATATAAATGAGTGTCGCTTTGTGAAATATAATCATTTATGATTGTTAAGAATTTACCATGGCAATGAGAAATAGATAGAAGTTCAGATTTTAATAGCTATGCTTATAAATGTAATATTATATAAAAATCATCATACTATCTCATATTAATTAATATGATTATTACGAAAAGTAATCGATGATTCCAAATGCTTGGCTGCTATTTTTCTTTAGTATACATTATACTACAAGATGCAACATGTGAAAAGATCTACAAATGATCTATGCAATCGATTTTTCGATACTGTGAATAAAATCATTTTTTTTTTCGCAAATGATCAATTCTCATTGATCGAAGACAGCTCGATTTACTGATGAAAAATACTTTTCATTGAAACGTGTTTATGTCGTAAGTCAACAGGAAGCAGACGAATATGCAAGGCATAAACCAAAAGGTTAAATATCCAAAAAGAATTATCATTTAGTTAAGTATATATAATAATCATTTTCCGTCTTCTTAAACTTGATGAAATCTTATCATATGAAAATTATATTGAAGTTGTCCTTCCACATGTATAATCTGAAGGTTAATGATTTCTTGACGGTAACCTCATCTATCAACAAGACAACATTACGTTATATACACATCAGGAATTATTGACATAGTGTGAAAAGAATTTCATACATGCTATTAGCAATCATAGACGACTAACAAATAGTCTTGATCTTAATATTTTGGATTATTATGTATCGGATGATATTAATAATCATATACAATAGGGATGAAGTTAAAAATTTTGATTTTTTTTTAATAGATAAAATAAGAAAAAGAATTTTGTCCATTTTGAAAACACTGAATGCATATATCAAATAAGATTTTTATTGTAATTTGTAGAATTTTTCACACGTTACATCTGATGATACATTTTGTTTTTTGATTAAAACATAAAAGGGAACTACTCGAACCGATGCTTGCTGTTCGAACTCATATTAGATTCACAAGAAGATCTCAGTAAGACTAAACATTCACAAAGTCATCAGATCTATTGATGAGCAATATTTCAGACCGAAAATTCCATAAAACGGTTATAACACGGCTCCAGACGACCATGAACACAAATCCTTATAGGATTTTTCTAGGCTTATCCATACCTCTTTGTGAACTTAATATGAGCTCAAACGATAGACTTCAGTTCAGATGCTTCTCTCATCAGTAATAAAAAGAAAAAAATCAATCAGCTCGCTATGTCACTGTTTAGTAATTCTATAATGTATGTCATAATATAGACAAAATTTTCACATCCTATATAAAATTCAACATTTAGAAATCATTTTTTATTGTTATTACGATTTATTTTCTTTTGGAATTTTTTTTTCGAATATTCAATTTATAAACATATACAATAATATATGTCGTTCTATATTTAGACATGATTTATCTGTAATGACAACCAGTGTTTCCGAACCTATCAGATACATTCACAAGAACAAAATTAATAGCTTGTCGACATGCCTTATATATAAACGAGTTCTTTTTCTACTATACTATTCTTATTCACTTCCGTACATATATCTATATCTTCTTGATTTGTTTGTTTTTTGCTTTTGTCTGTTTTTTTTTTGTTTTTCTATATGTATATCTTACATTTAATTCCATCTTATTTTCTTCTTCTTCTTCTTCTTGTTTCTTTTTTTATATCAACAGTGAACACTCGTTTTTCTTTTCTTCGTACGTAATTCATTCAATGAAAATAATATTCTTAACAACTTGAATAGTTTTGTTACTACGCAAATTTATCTATTCGTTTATCTTTTGCACATTTCTATACTTGTATCGAACAGTCCACTTGTATCGAAATATCGAATAAAAGACAAACGATTGTGTGTATCTCTCTAATGATGATAGACTGTGCTTTTGTTTTTTTTTTGTTTTCATTAGATTTGTTTTTCTTCTATAAAAGGAAATCTAATAGATTTCCAATGTTCTTTTGTTTCTCTTCTTCTTGTCTATATGTCATAAATTACAAAATATTGAATGTGTGCAATTGTTCTGTATGTGTGTGTTGTTGTTGTTGTTGTTGTTAGTTTTGTTTTTCTACACATCATCCATCCATTTGAATGCACATCAAATTATAAGAGAAAAAAAACAAAACAAAACAAAACTCTTAATAATCTTTTTACAGATATGATTACTGCACTTTTGTATTGTGTAATATCCTTTTTTTATGCGTAAATTAAATCCTTGTGAATGATAATAATTGTTGACGGAATAGAAAATTAGCAAGAACAAATTATGATACATTTCAACTAGATATTCAGTCGTTTTTTATCTTAATTTGCTATGTGTCATGCAGTGAATGACTTTCATCAAAATCGATATCTGTCTTTTCGACTATTCGAGTCTGAAGATTTCGAGTTGTTTTTCTTCTCGTGTCGGTATATGTCTTAATATGTTTTTGTTTTGTTTTAGAAAGTCTTATAGATTTTAGATGATATTACCATTCAGATATTCTATCCTATAACCGTAAAAATCAGTTTTGCTAGTAAATAATATTCAGATGAGTTTTATGTGAAACCCTCTAAATAAATTTTATTTTTGTTTATTTCTAAAAAAAAGATTAAACTCAATTGTGTTAGCTTGATTGATTTCTGTCTTATTTTTTTTTTTTTTTTTTTTTTGGAAATGAACTGATGACTAGATTGTGTCTGTATATAAATATATTTATTCATTATGATGCAGCAGCAATCATTTCTGATGCAGTCGTAAAACGTGAAGAACTTCGTGGTTGACTAATATTTTTAGTTAAAATTGGCATTTCAATAACCGTTGTTTGTTTTTGTGGAATAGACGATTTTGATGTTGATGGACGACGATATGCAGTCTATAATAATACAATATTTAAATTATTGTCTATTGGAGTCATTTTAGAATGTTGTGAAAGATTTGATGTAGTGTGTAAAGTGATATGTTCCTTATGATGTGATGGAGATATAGGTGATAGTGGTGCATTATTCAATGTGTTTAAACTTCGTACAGGTACAAGTACCTCAGAACCTAATGTTGATCTATGATCAGCTCGACCTGGTGTCCATGCAACTGATTGTTGTGGAGGTCGACAGGCAAGAGTTGTACCTCTTACAATACGTTTTCTCATTTCACGTAAATCAAGTGATGTTTGTAATGGTGAATGTTGATCTTTTAAAACAGCAGCAGTTGCTGCAGTTGGAGGTGGTTGTCGAATGCCTTGTTTTGCACGTGCAGCATTTATTTCATATCGAGCATAAGCTTGAGCAAGATTATAAGAAACTAATGGCTTTTGTAATGCATTACCATCATTATCATTACCATTTCCATTTCCAATGCCTGGTAATTTTTGACTTTCTTTATATGCTAAACCTTTATAGACAAATTTTGATTTTGCTACAGGTCGAATATTTGGTAAAACTTGTCGATTATAACCTGTTGGATCTTGTAATGATTGTTCTTGTTGTAAAGCTTGTAAATCTTCCATAGCATGTCGACTTCGTTTTGATATTGGTTTTGTTTGAACATGTGCGCAAGTAACAACTGATTGCCACATTTCGATTGATTCTTGTTTATAATCTTCTTTATCAATAAATGTTACTGTTGTGGGATATCTTAATTCGTTACTACTTATTATTGATTTGACATTTGAATTTGTTCCTACTTGTGTGTTTTTCTTTGTTAACGAACGTCCGTTATAATTTCGTTCTATGATATGATGATTTGTGTTTGTAATAGTTTTTCTATTCTTAGAGTCTGATAAAATTGTATTTCGTTGTTCGATTTCTATTTTTCTTATCGATGGAACACTTAGAATTTCGGTCGATTTTAGTGAATTTGTCGGTAAAATAAATCGTTGATTTTCAAATTGACGTACTTGAATTGGTGAAAAATAAACGTGTCCGTTATAACCTCGCCAAACCTATAAAATAGCAAATCAAAATAAAGATATTCTTGCGATTTCTCTTTTTTTGATACAGAAAAAAGTATCACATATAATCAATAGTCATTAGAAAGTCAATTAATTAATCAGCATATTTCACTAAATTAAACTTACAAAATAACCTGATCTACAACTAAGATGAAAAAAAAAATTTTTTGAAAATATCTGGCCATTTAAGTTAAACAAGACATATAAATGTACATATTTGAAACAAAAAAGTTCTCACTCATTTGATGTAAACAAAAAAAAAAAATATTACAAGTAAAAAACAAAAGACATTGTTTCACTACATGACAATTTCTCCTTTTTTTTTCTTCTTTTATTGAAATCTATGTATGTATAAAAAAAGAAAGTGTTGTTGAGCATAGTCACAATTTGTGCTACACACTCGAATACAAATTGATTTCTCTTTCGCACTACTTAATCCTTCATTCATTCACCATTAACATAGAAATCAAGTAAAATATAATGAAAAAACAAATCGAAATACTAACTGGAAGAGGTTCTAATGGAGTAGGACGAGTTTGTTCAAGATAGTAATATTGAGGATGTAGAAAACCAAAGCCTGGTGGTGGATCATTCGAACCGAGTACAGTTGCAACATCATGAGCTAATTTAGTTTGACGAGGAGTTTCCAATGTCTGTCGAACTACTGCAGCATAATCATAAACTGCTTTTGGAATAGTTATTTGTGTTTGATCATCAATTATTGATAATGATGGTTCATCAATGAGTCTATTAAAGAAATAAAAACGATATTTTGATTTTTTTTTTTTTATAAGAAAATAAAGCCTTTCTCTCTTACATGTTATGTTCAGTATCATTTATACTTTCAACATTTGCTATTGAAATTAGTGATGCATTTTGATGTTCTTGTTTATTTGAAATTTCATTATTTGTTATTGATCCATCATCTGAATCATTTGATGATTTAACATCAATATTCATATTATCATCATCATCATTTAAGCTAAATGATTTGACTTGATTATCATTTGGTAATGTTGTAATAAAAGTTTCTTTATTATTTTCATTCATTCTAGATAGAAATAAAAATTTTTATTCTTTTTCTTTTTCTTTTTACTTACATATTCGATAAGATTAAATTCGTTAATATGTTGCATTAAAATTGAAAAAACGAAACGTTTTATGTTTAATTCCTTTTTCTTTAAATAACAATCGTAAAAGAAGCAAAAAAAAAAAAACTTTGTAACGTTTACTTAAAATTTGTTTTTAATACTTCTCTTTAACATACTTTTGCAATTAAGTAGAAAAAAAACATAGATAATAATGAAAGTACCTCTTCATATACCTGTTTTACTTGACCATGTTCTGAAAATTTTATGTCGTAATGAAAAACAAGTAGGCCTTCTCTTAAAAAGAAAAATTTATTTAAAAAGATATAATTTTTTAAATAAATATTAGATATTCTTGGATTTAACCTTCGGTGCAGGTGGTCATACAAAAGGTCTTTTAAATCGAAATGAAAAATCAATAGTTTATGCTCTTGATCGTGATCAAAATGCAATTGAATTAGCTTATGAAATGGCTAAAGAATATCCGTGTGAAGAAAACAAAATTTTTTTTAAACTTTTCACAAAAAAAATTAAATAAAATATTCATTTTTTCAAACATAGAAATCGATTATTTCCATTTCATGGTCAATTTAGTGAATTAAAACAAATATTTAAAAATAAAGAAAATTTTTTTGATGGAATTCTATTAGATGCTGGTACAAGGTAATACAAACAACAAAAAAGAGAAAATAAAAATATTAAAATTTTTAGTACAATGCAATTAAATGATCCAAAACGTGGTTTTAGTTTTCGGCATGAAGGCCCATTAGATATGAGAATGAATAGTAAATTAAAATCAATTACTGCTTATGATCTTGTCAATAAATTAGATGAAGCAACATTAAGTCGACTTATTCGTTTATATGGTGAAGATCAACGTCATCGAAAAATTGCTCGATGTATTTATCAATGGCGTTCTACATTTGGTCCAATTTCAACAACAATACAATTGGCTAGTATAATTAAAATAGGTCTAGGAGGAAGGTAAAAGTTTACATATTAACATCAAATTCTTATTTGATAAGATTCATTTTTGTTTTCTTTTTTTTTTTTTATTCTAGTGCATCAGATGTTGATAAACTAAATCGTCCAATTCATCCAGCAACAAAAACATTTCAAGCATTAAGAATTGTTGTTAATGATGAACTTAATGAACTTTATAATGGTCTTGAACAAGCTTATACGTAAGTAATATACAAATTCTTACTGGATTTGATACAATAGAATCGTTCTACAAAACCATATAAAACAATTCTGAAGAGAATAAAAGCAATCGTTCAACTACATGTTTGACTTACGGAGAAACATATTCCACTATCAGACACTATTCGACTTTGCATTAAGACTATGAGTAGGTCTTGGTGAAACTAAGAAAAGCTTAAAATGATTCAGGCTCATGACTTACAGTTGAAGAGTTATGGTTGTTTTAATGAAATTTTTACTAAGGATAAGGCATTTTCGAAAAATCAAAAACAAAGAGTTTCGAGCTGAAATTATAATTGATAGGTACGTTTGATAGTCCTTCGATAATTCTGAAAGTTTCAATGAGAACGAATATATCTTTCTCGAGATATTCAATAAGGTCTTCTCCTCAGTAAAAATTTCATTAAAACAATCATAACTCTTCAACAGTAGATCATAGATTCGAATCTTTTTACTTTTTTCTTAGTCTCACCGAGATGTACTCGTAGCCATAATATGAAGTCAGACCATATTAGACATCTATTTTCGATTATACTACTTCATATGTTCATTATTCCCAAGCCATTTTTGTTTATTGATATTCTATATTAGTAATGAGAGAAATGAACTGACGAGAAAACCTCTCCAAGTGTCAAATCACTTTTTGACCGAAACGATGTTTATTTGATGAATACTAGTAAACAATAGAAAAGTTTTGAATAGTTTGGCTTTCTGGATCTTCGTTCTTGAGATATTCTCTCATGAATTACACATATTTTTATCTGTTTGAACAATAATGAAAACAAATGTATACTATTAATTAACATATACGGATAAAAACAAAAAACAAAATTTCACGTGTTAGATAAATTTTTATTAATGATGTCAATTGAAATCAGTTGTTTAACAATATGACAGTTATTCATACAAGAGGATTATGTATTTATTTATAATTCTATGTTATTTCAGACTACTCAAACCAGATGGTATATTATTATGTATTAGTTTTCATTCATTAGAAGATCGTATAATAAAACGACATTTTCAAGGTATTGTTTTACATTCTGATGAATTTTCATTAAATTTTGATGACAAATTATTAAATACTCAAGCTGAAAAACAAATACGATATGATATACAAACAAAACATATTATTGAAGCAGATGATAATGAACTTGATGAAAATCCAAAATCTCGATCAGCTAAATTACGATATGGAATAAAACTTTGATTTTTTTTTTTTACAATTATATGTATAAAGAGAGAGAGAGAGAGAAATAAAGAAATACAATGCATTTGTTTTGTTTCAATCATAACCAAGTACTTCAGTTCGTACACGTTTTTTATGTTGATTATTATAACGTGTCTGTAAATTTTCTATTTCTTTTCCTAATGGATTTTGTAATTGCCAACCATAATCACGACCACGAGAATTAGGAATCTTTAAGATGAAGAAAAAGAAAATTCATTAAAAAATTGAATAACAAAAAAAAAAAAAAACATTTACAAACCGTATTAGAAAAACGTGTAGTATTTTCTAATGTACGTTTGCTTGGATTAAAATTTCCCTTAAATAATTAAATATATTCTTTTATTTAATCTTCTTCTTTTTTTTTCTTCGATAAAAATAATACTTTAGAATCATAATCAGCCATCCATCCATACATATGTTCCCAGTTTTTTCTTATTGATGTTTCTTTAGAAATATTTTCAATCCATAGTTGTGCTAAAGTCCATGGTTTAAATACAGTATTATTTGATTTTTTTGAAGGATTAAAAGTAATTACTGTAGTTGTTGAACGTGCAGTAGATGGTGGTATAACTGATTCAGTACGATCTCTAGATTTAAAAAATAAATAAAAATTTCAAAAAAAAGAAAAATATAAATTCTGTTTACCCTTTTCGAAGTATATTATTGGCCATGACTATGACGTTGTCAAGTACTGTTAAGTTGTTTTATATATGTTAATCAAGAAGTTTTCATTTGCATTCAATCTCTCTTCATGACAAGTTCTATTTCAACAATATAAACATGCTCATTCTCTTTTTATATACAACTAAACACACACAAATAAAATAAGTGTTCATTGAGCTTTTCTCCATCGAACAATACGGTCGTGAAGAAACAAAATATATTAAAAGGAAACGAGAAAAAAAAGAAAGAACAAGTAAAAAAAATCGACCGAGTGTTTTTTTGTTAATGACTCGTTTACTAAGGTAATTTTGACAGATTGACAGAAACGTTTCATGAAAAAACTCATTTGTGATTGATGAACTCCATAAATTTTATTAGTAAATGGATCTTCCATTTATTAACAAATTTCGTTCATCAATCATAAGAGATTTTTATCACTATTTTCTTGTTGAACTCTTTGAAGACCTTGAAATTTGGCTGAGGAAAGAAGTCCTTAAATACACAAAAATTAGGATTTTACGAATGGATTTTTTCCGATATGCATGGTACACATGAAGTCGTTATAGAATAGTCCTACATTGACTTATTAATCAATTGAACTTACTGCTAAACATTTTCTATGTCTTGTATCTTAAACAACAAATAGAAAAACTCGTCAGAAAACTTGTGTTGTATGTACATAGACACTATCCAAGAACTGATTCACACTATATGTATAAAGATTATTTCAATGGTGAAATAATCATAGAAGAGAAGAACAACATTAACTACACACACGAATATATATATATATATACAAGATAAGGAAAAAAGTTCTGAGAACTTTTGTAATCGATATATTTTTGCAGTCATTTAAGTAATTGTAACAAATAAATAGTTATTTTGAAAAGCACTTAAAAGTGTACTTATTAAGTAAAAATAAAGGTTCTAACTTAAAATATAAGAGAAATATAAATGTGAAGATATCATTAAATGTTTTTCGGAAGTTTTTGTTTATTATGTATAGTGCAAAAGTAATGGCACCACAAAATGTTCATCTCTATTTCTCTTTGATGAAAGGGTACTAAAAGAAAATTTTTTTTAACCAAACGATAAAAACTTTTTCTTTTCTTTCGATTCGTATATAACCCTAAAAAGAATCCGTATTATTCGTGAGATTCAGAAAACAGTGCAACATTGTGATCTCTATATCCGTTTGATAACTTTTCGATAAACATGTTTTTATCAGTTGATAGGAAAATTTCTTCTCTTTTGAATAGTGTATAATCTATATTTGTCACACATTTGTAAATGAAATGACACGAGAGAAAACGAGTGATACTGACGTGATAAATTTCTAATTTTTATAAGAACTCGTCAAAAAAATCTTATTAGACTACAAGATGAAAGATATCTGTTTAAAGTTCTAACTATTCAACATTAAACAATTGTTGTTTTTTGAGAATCGAAAACGCATGTAACAAACTTCCTTTATTGATTCCCTCTTACTCTTTAAGTTTGAACCTTTATTTTTACACAATAAATACACTTTTAAATGCTCTTTAAAATGACTATTTATTTGTTGCAATTACTTATATGACTCCAAAAATATATTGCTTAAAAAAGTTCTCAGAGCTTTTTTTTTCGTACCTTATATCAGCATCACATATAATAAATATATGCAATAGAATATTACTACGTAATAAAAACAGAAATGATCAAGGTCAATATCAATGTTTGTTTGATCCTGAGAGACCAGAAACAAATGTAGAGTATGAAAACGAAAGAAACATACACATATAACACACAGGGAAGGAAAATAAATACACACGTATATGTATAGTTCGTAAGTAGAGACCTGCGGGGAACTCCAAAACCCGATTTCAACTCCGACGGAGTTGGAGTCGAAGTCGGATATACTAGAAATTTTTTTTGGAGTCAAACTGGAGTCGAAATTATAACAATCTTTAATAAACTTTTGCTATTTGATACCGCAATAACTTTATTTTCCATATTAACAAACAAAAAACGCGAAAGACAGCACTCACTACATATACTAAGAATGAATTTCAAGACACAAAAAAAAGGGTCACCTTTTGGCGGTAACATTCGAAAGATCATCCTCATAAAAACATGATACCATTAATCAAAAAATTTTTCAGTACCATCCAAAAGTATAATAATTCTCGTCGTCATCGGAGTCGACTAAATTTTATGCTAAAATTTCGCTTTAACACAGGAAATTTTTTGAATTGTAGGTTTTCTTCTCTGATATTTACTGTATAAACTGATGCATTTTGGAGATTGTAACGAAATGTTATCAAAACCTATGGACATGAAAGAAAGTCGAAATCGAACAAAATCGGAGCTGAACTTGACTCCGACTTTCTTTCGTGTCCATAGGTTTTGATAACACGTCGTTGGAACCTCCAAAACACATTAGTTTATGCAGTAAATATCAGAGAATAAAACCTACAATTTAAAAAATTTCCTATGTTAAAGTGAAATTTTTAGTGTAAAATTTAGTCGACTCCGAAATCGACTCCATGCAGGACTCTATTGCTTGGGCATAGTATATGTCGAATACTTTCTAGTTATTGTTTTTTTATTTTCACTGCACAACCAATGACAAAGAAATTCAAAATTAATCTTTTAATGATTCTTTGATTTTTTTTTATTCTTTTGCTTGTAGGGGTGCACCAAATCCAAATCCCGGATTTGACAGAGTTTGACTAGATTTGGATTTGGATTTGACTATATATACCTCCTACAAAGGCTGTAGTTTTTCAGCAACAAAACTCGCCAAAACCGATCAAATCTTCGTGTCCATTAGACGCAGTTTTCTTCGCTCTATCCAATGATGGCGTCAGATTCCATGTAATCTTTCAAAAAGTGCCAAGGTTTGACACGACTTTATCAAAAACGTGAATAAAAAGCAAGAATTTGCATAAAAATCTGTCAAACCTTGGCACTTTTTGAAAGATTACATGGAATCTTACACCATCATTGGATAGAGCGAAGGAAACTGCGTCCAATGAACACGAAGATTTGATCGGTTTTGGCGAGTTTTGTTACCGAAAAACTACAGCCTTTGCAGGAGGTATATATAGTCAAATCCAAGTCGAACCCAAACCCAGTCAAA